GCCCCAGAGCTCTGGCAGCGGCACTGAGGGTGCCGGGAGAGGTGCCCCCAGCAGCCTCGTTCGGCCGCTGTCCCCATCCCCGCTCCGTGAGGCGAGGGGGGACCTCCTGAACGAAGGGGGCTGGGCCTGGCGTCAGCCAGCGGCCCTCGCTCCCCTTGCAGTCGGCCTCACCTTTTCTCTTCCAGGTGCTGTGGAGCTCTGGGAGCTGGATGAAAACGAAACCCTCATAGTGAATAAATTCTGTAAATATGAGCACGATGACATGGTGATGACAGTGAGTGTTCTTGCTAACAGCACCCAGGCTGTCAGCGGCAGCAGAGACTTCTGGTTAGTTCCCCTTGCTCTGCTATTTCTGCTCCGAGTGATTTCTCCCTTGCTCTTCTAACAGCTTGCTTTTATCCACAGTGTGAAAGTTTGGGACCTCCCACAGCAAACTGTGCTGCACTCCTACAGAGGTGAGTGTCAAGCTGACTTGTTCATCTTGCTTCCTGGTCTCTTGTGGCTGTAACATGCAGCATTCAGTCCTGCAGCATCACTGGTTGTTTCCCATGAGCCAAACAGTGGACAGTGTGATTTAACGTTTGCCTGTCTACGACGCTTCCAGCACAACTGTATGTTTTTCTGGGGTGTCTATTGTTTATTTCTCCCCATAAATGTATGTGGTAAGTTTTAGTTTGCCTTGCATCTCTAAGTGTGTTTTAGAGTATTTCTTCTAGGCTGAAATCTTTTTTGGAGTTGTATGTGATCACATGATCTTCTAATGCATGTTTCTTTTTGAAAAGAGCTCACTGGAGATATAAGATGACATCTCGGGAGATCTGTGCCCTCTACAGCAGAGGAAATGAAAGCTTCAGCAATACGTCTCAGGAGATCTGTGCTCTCTAGTTACAGCAGAGGCAGAGGAAATGAAAGCTTCAGCAATACCTTGCTTATTTGACCTCCCTCCCCACCCCCTTTTTAACGCACATCTTATCTGGCAGGGCTTCTTTAAGCTTAGCCACAATCACAGGGACGTAACTGCAGTGGCTCTGGTTGGATTTGGCAGCTCATCAGTTTGGTAGGAAGTAGCTGCCTATCACTGAGTAGAAATTAGCCTCTGTCTGGGTATAAACTATTCTTTATTATGCTGCTAGGCCTCAAGGGTTCTTAGGTTCCTTCTCCCTATTATGTGGTTACGCATTGGGAATACGCAGGAAGGTTGGATACGGTCTTTCAGACTCTTTATCCTTTTGTGCTTTTGGTAGCTCACTCCGGTTCAGTGACATGTGTGGCTTCCTGTCCTGGTAAGGACACTGTGTTCCTGTCCTGTGCTGAGGTAAAGCTAATTCTCTGTATAAATCTACCTGATATAAATGAGATTTAACTTTAAATTTGTTCAGTCAAGTATATTTATTGATAAACTACCTATTGTGTTATACTCTGTGTCCATGTATGTTCTTTAAATGTTCCAATCTGAGTTTGCTGATCAGTTTACCAAGCTGATTTATACAGGTTTATATTAAAACATGGGAGTTCCTAGCTCTGTCTGTCCTGGGGATGACTGAAGGAGCTAACTTGTCATTAATGGCAGCATCCTTTTAAATATAAGGAAAGAGATTATGCAGGCTTGAATGTGGGCCAGTAGTGGTAGGCCGCCACACCTGAAAGTTCATGCTTATTTCTGCTGCAAAGAAATTACAAAAAAAAACACCTTTTCATTCACTTTCAATTTATAGGACAGCAGAACTTTACTCTGGGACACCAGATGCCCCAAACCAGCTACTCGAATTGGTACGCTTCTATACGCAGTCACTGCTTGTGTGTGAGTTTATATGGGAAGGAATACATTGTTTTATGCCTGTTTGGGGAGGAAAAACTGTTAAAAGCTAAGGAAATTTAACAATTTCACAGAAATAAAATAAGCTTTTAAATAAATGTGTTAGTGCAGTAGCAGTGCTAACTGAGACACTGTAGGACTATCTTTGCAACAGCTATTCTCTTTGCACTCATACCAATTTATTTACTTGCAGTTTGCAGTGCCTGTAGTTACCTCCCTACCTCAGTCATGTGGCATCCACAGAAAAGTGACATCTTTGCTTTAGGTAAGAAGCAGTCTTACCATCTGACTTTCATTAGACAAATCAAGGTCTCTGTTTTCACATGACAGCTTTGCCAATAACCTCATTCCTTCTTCTTCTCTCAAAGGTGATGAAAATGGGACAGTTGCACTAGTAGACACGAAGAAGCCTGATTCTGCCCTCAGCTCCACTGTGCACTCCCGAAGTATCACAGGGTTTGCGTTTTCTACACATAGGTACTGTCTCAGATGCTGCCATAAAGTGTATGACTATATACGCTCGTAGGCCTTGTTGGTTCTTAGGGTAAAACAAACGGGAGTACTCGTTCTGGTCTTTCTGTAGAGGAGGATCAACAGGGAGGAAGAAAGTAAAGCAAACAATGCCTGCGTTTTGACCAGAAGTGTGTAAACTGTGGCAGTTTTTCTGACTGTTGTTACTTCTGTGCTGAGAGGAAGTAGTACCAGGTTACAGCGAATTAACAGACACCAAGCCTCGTGGAAAGTTTCATGTATTTAATTGCACTAACACTGATCTCCTTTCTGTTCCCTAGTTCACCCTTCCTGGCTTCAATCAGTGAAGACTGTTCAGTAGCTGTTCTTGACTCAAACCTTTCAGAGGTGTAAGTACTAAACAGAATGTATTTACTGCAGCTGTTTGTCTTACTGACTTCTGATTAAATTGCTTTGTTATCTATATACTGAGGGGAAGATAAAAACAGTTCTTAAATTGAGGCGTGTCATCCTAACAAAACTGTTGGGAAGTTAGGAAGTACCATGACACTTAGGCATAAGCATTGTCACTAACGGAGTGTTCCTGTCTTCTAGGTTCAGAAGCCGTTCTCATCGAGACTTTGTAAAAGGCTTATCGTGGTCTCCTTCAGACAATGCCTTGCTCACTACAGTTGGATGGGATCATCAGGTTTTACATCACAGTGTACCACTACCAACTGGTGAAGCTTCTGGAATCAACTGTGTAAAAGAATAGTTTTTATAAACTCATTGGTCCACATTCCCTCCTGGTGTTACTTTGATTCTGCTGAAGTCAAAGGTGTTTGTGAACCAGACTGGGTATGGTCTGTTGTCTGCCTTCAAGCCTGTGGCCAAGAAGGTTCCTGTAGTAATTTTGAATTAGGTGTGAGTTCATTACAGAACAGGCTTTACCCTCTCCTCAGCAGTCTGGCTTCACCTGTGATCAGACTTCAGTATATTGCACAGAAAAATATTGACTTCAGGCACAGAGGAGTCTTGGACAGACAAGCAATTAAGGGTAGTTTAAAAATTATTCTTCCCTCTGTTCTTCAAATAATAGGATCAAATTACTTGGAGAGGCTTTAAAAAAACCCTCTTGCCATAACAAGCTGTATGTGAGGGCCTTACCTGCACAAAGCCTTTTGCTATGGGCAGATTAAGACCAGCCTAAATTAATCCTTCCAGCTAAGCAAGAAAACTTGCCATAGCATTGGAAGAGTGGAAAGGCTCTACTGTTGTCTTTAACGGGGCATGCAGAGAGAGGGTTGGTCTTAGCTGTCTGCTGGGGGGATGCCACAGTAAGCACTGTCTGTGCGCTTCTGGTCTGTTGATGCATGTCCAAGAATACCAGCACTCGGCAGGAGGAATCTTGGACCCTGTCTGATAAGGCTCCAGAACGTGGCCCTGTGTTTAAGCACCTTTGTATTTCAGTGTCCCAGACACTGAAGTACTAGGACCTGCAATGTTCTATGAGGCCAGTTCAAGGGTGCTGTTCTGCAGAATGCTGAAAGCCAAGAGAAGTTAGCAGTTGCTGCACTGTTTGACACTGTTTCCACTCCTCTGTGCTGAAGACAATTTATTCAACTATAAAGACTTTTGAACAAGAGCTTAAAAGGGAAAAACTGGACTAAGGACTTCAATTTTCATTTGTTTGTTCCTATAACCAGACTCAGCTTAGTGATATAAAAAGACAACTCACTATGCAGTTGTGATGAGTGGCATTTTGTGCTGAAGATGGGGCAGGGGAGTCCCAAACATTCTCATAATCTCCTAAACTGACTGCACAATACCTTAGCGGTGTTTTTTTTGTAATGTACCCCTTTAACTTTTCTGACTAAACTGTTTCCCTGGAACACAGTATACAGTTGCTCTGCATGCATTGCCATTGCCCTAGGTCTGGCTTGGTCAGAGCTAACATGCCCTAGACCAATAAAAGTGGGTCCTGACTAGCAAACCACCAACAAAAAGCTATTACAGTGAATCCTAACTGTTTATTTAGCATGCTAGCAACACTAAATAAGCCACTTTGTGTGCTCATTTCTGAAAAAAAAAAAAACCTTTATTTTAAAAGATCCAAATTATGCAGCACCCACAATTAAGTTTCAGGCTGATTAAGCTTTTCCAGTCTTTGTATTGTTCTCATGCTCTTTTTAAACCTAGTTTGCTCTTTTGAATGCCAACATCATTCAGTTGTTCACAGAACAAAGTTCCTGATCTCAGGCACTGTGTTATAAGGCAAGGTAAATGGTTATAAAAACTGACAGATTTCCTCAAACTACCCTTCTACAACAAGAAAAAGAAAATGGTTACCTGTTACGGATCTCTGATAGCATACTGAAGCAGATCTTGTGCTGTTTGTGAAACGGATGGATGTCTGAAAAAACGGCAGTTTTTAAATAAATCATAGTTTTCATTTGTAACTGGATGTAAGTTTTACTCTGCCACGTCTGTAGTATTTTTCACCTTATGTTCAATCCCAAAGCTTGTATCTGGGTCATAGGATGCATGTTATGTATTGCATCTCAATTTTAATATGCCAGAGGCTAGATCCAATAAAGCCTTCTAGTTTAATATGCCACTTAAGCAAAGTGCTTAGCTCAGATCAATTTCAGGACACTGCAGGTACCCAGAGCCCATTGGTGTGTCTGGCAGACTGTGCTGCTCCAACTCCCAAGGAGGATTGAAGACAGTAGCCCCCTATCCTCTTCAGGTATATTCTGGTAAAATCAATGTAAAATGTAAGAGCTAACTGAAATCATTCACACACTAAAACGTTGTGATTTCAGTCCCTGGAAATAGAATTATTCTTAAATATGGGACATGTTACCATTTAATGCTAGAGCACTGTGATTCTTCAATACTAGTATGAGGCAGACTATAAGCCCTTTGGCTTGTTTTCAAGAAATTTTTCTCTCCAAAACTTGGAGATATTAGTTGTGCATTGCCAAAATAAAAAGTTTCAAGTATCAAGGCAAAGTATTAAGCCAAATAAGTTCCTCAGGCTTATTTGTAAGCAAAACACCACAACAGACCAAGGCAAAAAGCAGCATAATGCTGGAAGATGAAGCCCATGCGGGGTTAGTCCCGTTCTTACGTAATTGCTTAAAGACTGCCTTACCATGGAAGCACAGAAACTGGCTTCAGCATCCTGCAAATCTTTGGATTAAGCTTTGTGTTCTGCCACAGGAGGGCAGCAGCTGCCAACTTGATAGTAGAGCAGCACCGCTCTAAGAATTAAACATGTCATTAAGGAACACCTACCATTACTACAGTTTACACTTGTTTTTTTTCCACCGTAAGAGAAGCACAGAAGAGTCAGTTTGTCTTAGCAGTCAATGTGTTGCGTTATCTTGGCTCCTAAGTGATCATACCACTGCTAGCAAGGCTATATAAAATAGTCATGTCAACATCACTTGCATCATGCAGGCAGCACTGCAGAAATGCCGACAAGACCACATCAGTGCTAGTTGACTTAGAAGCTATCTGCAAAGGAATTGGGGAATTTCCTAGGTTTTGTGGAAGGTTCACACTGTTAAGGCTAATCTACATGCCACTTAAGTTAGGGGACACTTTCTTCCATAAATACACCATGGCTAGAGCAAAAGCTTCAAAACTTTGCACACTTTCCTAATGAAAAACCTTGTTCTGTAGCCAGAGCAGGATTAAAGAGATGAAAATGCAAATAAGTGTAATTTAGATGAGTGGAGAGAGTAAGCCACTATGAAGCAAGAACATAAAAGGCAGATTGTCTTGCATTGCTCACACTGCATTTTCAATTTTAAGAAAAACATTCCAGTTAGGACTTGCAAATGAGCATGCAGGTTTCATTAGTAATGAAACGCTCAAAACCAAGAATTCTATTTATAGAAGCAGCACAAGTTGAACTGTACAGGCTCCTTTGTCAGCCTGCCTAACCAGCTGGATGTGAGGGGTGTTTCTGAAGTGATGCACACCTAGAGCTAGCTGCCTATTTCTTGATCAGGCTCCTGAAAACATCTCAATCGCCACAGGGCTCTGTATTAACAACTGGTGAGTAGCAAGTGGACCAACTCCTAGGTAAGATGAAATTCAGACTTTCTGAAGCCAATTTGAGCTATGTTTTCCTGTCCTTTTAATCTCACATGCAAAAAAATCTTACAGTAGATGAACCATTTAAAAACGATACTTAAAAAAGTCAGACCACACATGCAATAAAACAATACATGCAGACATATTTAATGCAAGAAGGTTGATGTTCCATGGCACTCATAAATAAGAGACTTTGTTAAAACACTTTATAAGAAAAGCTATCAGTTATACTACGTTAGCAGGTACTTTTGAGGAAGAGGCAGCTGCAGGGGATAATTTAAGCTGTATCAAGACTTGAATGACCAAGCTGTCAGAGAAGGTTGAAATGTTAGAAGAGTTTCACTGTTAGGTTTCAAAACAGCTTTCAGCACCATGGCTGAGCTATAAGGTAGTTTGCTTCGCTCTGTTGCCACACCTGAGTCTCTCCCTCCTCTATTGCTAAACTTATATAGTGAAATAGAGCTGGGGGGGAGGTGGGAGAAACAGGAGTCAGAGCAGAGTAGAGTTTGATCTGTGTGCTGTCCTGACAAAGTCGCCTGACCAAGGAAGAGGGAGCCCTTCCCCATCATCCCTGCAGCTCAGAGGTCCTCGCTCTTCATCAGTGATACAATTTTCACCGTAAGCGCTTCGGCTGCCAACTCTGACAGCGATTCCTTTGTAACATGAACAGTTCTCTAATAGCCTCAGCCTAAATGCCTCGTTGTTACTGAAACACTAGAATTTTGCTACTGCGTTCGAAAGAAGCAGGGCTAGCCCAAGACACCTGAGGAACAGAATGGTTTCACTGCTTACAACATTTGTGTTAACCAGTTTAACAACTGAGCAGTCCCACCCGAATTAGTTGCAGCTCGGTCCACTACACGTTCCCACAGAATGGGTGTTCTCTGAATGAATAATGGCTTTTTCATAAAACTGACTTACATTGCCGTGCTTCTAGTATTTAATATAAATATACAACTGCTAGAAACAAGACATTCCACACACTGTAACACAGTATTACAACTACATGTGGATTGTATGTCTGGGTGAAATAGTAAACATGAAATTCAGAGCAAGTGCCAACATCAGAACTTCATATTTTGCTCTGAAAAAATAGAACATGTAGGGGATATGCTTAAAATTAGGATAATTTAATTGGGGGTGGGAGATCCCACACAAACAAGAAAACCATTTCTGGACAAAGTCAATTTCTGAGGCTGAAGTTTCCACCAACTCCTTAAATTTAGGATTGTTTTTCAGAATTATGTTCCAGTTATAATTCCTAATTTTGCAAAAATTTGTATCAGGAAACAGCATCAGATTGCAGTACTTCTAGGGAGGTAGTTGTGGGGTTTTGTTTGGTTTTAAAGCAAAACTGGTGAAATTTCATCCAATACTAAAGCACAACCCCGAAGCTACTCAAACAGGTTATGTCTTTATTTCCATACGTTAGTAAGAATTCAAGGCAGCTCCTCATGTGGAGGAACGTCTACGTTTTAAGGGGGTCCGCAAGCGCATGGCACTGGCGCACAAACACCCAGAAAGTTGTTCCTTCCATTGCATTCTTTTCTCCATTTTTTTTTTTTTTTGTAAGCCAACACCCAGGCATTTACAAAATGTTATTTCAATACTGGCTGGGGAGAGCACATTTGGAAATATTCCAAGTTACTGTAACTTACTGGCATGAAAATGCCATTTGAATTGAGCTATTAGACCGATTATGGTATTTGTGTTCTCATTTTATTCAGAGCAAAATAAAGTTCAGGATACTTTGAAGTCTATGCAATATTTGAAATAGCTGTTAAATTATTAGGGAGTTGGAAATAACGTAAAGCTTAGAACTTCAGCATCATGACATTAACATCAAGACAACTGGTCTGAAAATTGCACTGTCAAGGAAAATTTATCACTGAATTTTGAGTTAAATCAGAGCAACATCTCTCCACAAACACAAACGATATGGGATAAGCTTGAGTGGAACCAATTGAATAATAGTGAAAAAAGTGCTTTCAATAGAAGTAAACTAATGTCTCAAAGTGCTTTTAGTTTGCCAGTGATTAGAAAATATTCTCTACAAGTTTTTACATTTATCTTACAGTGTTTTTTGGCAAGCTTACTTAGGAGGAACGTTATGTTTGATTCTAATTTCAGGAAGCTTTGGTCAGTTAAAAATGAGATTGTATTGCTTTCTCCATAGTACAAAGTATTTTCTTTAAGACTATTCTCCCAGCTCTCATCCCACGGAATAGCCATTACTAGCTACTTCAGGCAAGCCTTTGCACCAGAAGAAAGCAGAGACAAGGGGGCACGCGTGCTGCCCACCCTGACCAGCGTTCACCACGCACTGAAGGAAATAGCTGGAGACAGTTCTCTTGGCTATTAGCATCTCGCTAAAGGCACTTCATACCCCAAGAGTGTCAGATATTTTACAGCTGCACTAAAATTTAGCTTCTCAGTCCCCCTGATTAGACAAACTAAAACTTCATTTATGGCAGTGTAGTTCTTTTGCAAGTCACAACCATACCCAGGAGCTCTGACAAGGAAGAAAAGAAAAAAGTCTTATATCCCCCAAGTGCTAGGCAAATATTCACCCAGGCCTCACAGCATTCTTCTGTGATGAATAACTGTCACCTGTAAAGGTTTCTGTTGATAGAGCAAGAAAGCAAGGGCCATAAATCCACACAGTTGCACTGCAGTCACTCGGCCGGAGGAAGCACCTCCGGCTCTCGGCCGTCCCCGCTACCAGGACAGGCACCAGCAGCCACGAGCTGCTCTGAGACATCAGCATAACTGATTCGCTCAAGGCTGTTGAGGGAGGTGATGGCAGCAGAGATTAGAACCTGGACATCCTAAACTATCTTCTATCCAATTGGTCTCACACTCTTCTTATAATTCCCCTAGAGTCAGAAACAGGCTGGTTTGCTTCCGTTATGCACGTCTTCCAATTGGTTTCTCCCTACTCCTGAGCATGTAGCGTTCAAACCAGTTAAAAACCATGAAAAAACCTCTTCAGTAGTTATGCTCTTTAAAGAGAGCCAGGGATGCTTTTTTCACTTTCTTCTTAGGAGACCTATTAGGCTGCAGTTTTGAAAATAATACTTTGGGGTAGGGGGGAAAAGAGGAGAAAAAAACGTGCTTGCTCACGTAACAGCACAGCAGCTGGTCCTCTGCAGTAACTATGCTCCATGACAGTCTTTTGAGAAGAGTCCAAGTCCCTGATTCACTCCCCACCTCCACCGTCAGTAGTTTACAAGTGGTGTGTTCACAAGCCTGGGTTGGGATAGTTACTGGTGCCCGCAGAGAAGGAGAAGATCCACCCAGGTGCATTTTAGCATCTTCCCAGCATAAACACGAAAGCAGCAGAGCAGCCCTCTGGACAAGCCTATCGATGGCTGTTCTGGTACACGTAAGAGATGGGCTGCCGTGTCCCAGGCCTGACCGTGAAGGTGTTTGTGGGTGCACCGTACTGTGCATTGCCATGGGCAGGTCTGAAGGGAAAAAAAACAAAGAGGAAGTCACCGAAAGCCAAGGAAATTATTTGTCTTTAGTCACAATAACAATGTTTTTAATTGGAACGGGGGCCAAACTTCACTCCCCCTACAAGGCATCAGTCTCATCTCTGCACCTTGTCTGTCCCCATGGACTCCAAAGCTCATGTTTGCAGGGCCAAGCATGGCTGAGGAGGTCCCATCCCTGACACCCTCTGGCCCACAATGCTTTGACAGCATTTACCTCTCCACCACCCCCATCCACGTGCAGGAGCTGATGAAGCATGAACACCTGGCCAAAAACATGTTCTCATTTCCCAGGAGGAGCCCTTGCTCTCTCCATAAACTGGGGGTTGAAAGGACCTAAGATAACATTTCTCCATAGCGTTCGTGGGTTTTGCAACTGCCACACAAGCACCAGATGCTGACATGCATTGCGCTTCACCCCTCAGGACTGCAGCAAGCACACAGCAAGCAGCAGTGCAGTCAGTTCAGGGGAATATTTTGCCATTAAGCAAACCTCAAGTCTTAGTTAAAAGATGCCACAAAGAGAGAGCAATCGGGGCTAAGGTGAAGGTTAGAATCAGTGGGAAGAACAAAGAGAAATCCCAGCCCAGAATCAAAGTGGAAGGAAGAGTCAGATGCCGGGTTTCAAAGAGCAACCAACGCTGGAAAAGACATGGACAAGGTACACCCTTGCACGAGTTGGGCAGAGGTGTGGTATCTTCTTTCACGCCTTGACACTGCTTGTGGCAGCAGCCTGGGGACCCAAACCCTTCTCTCCTCAAAGTTTCAGTGAGATACAAAGGACAGAGGACCTGGCTCAGCCAGGAGCACAGAAAAGGAGCATACCTGCTGGCTGCTGCCATGCTGGTAGGCAAATAATCCCCATTCTGCCCCTTGTACTTGGCATCGCTGCTGGCATTGCTATAAGGCGCAGTTTTCCCAGGCGTTTCTGCAGCCATCCTCCTGCCCTGGGTGCTCCCTGGGGTGCTCCGGTGGGCAGAGCTGACCCGGCGCATCCCCTCCGTGGCCGGGGAGCCAAACCCCCCAGTGCCAGGGCTGTAGGATGTGAGCGTGCCAATACCCCGGGAGGCTGCAGCTGCTCTCGGGTAGGACCGGTCAGGCTCAGACATGTACAGACGCTTTTTGATCAGTGGGCGGTTATTCGGGTAGTGACTGAAGTAACTTGCAGAGGTGCTGCAATCTGGATACTGAGGAACAAAGTCACTATTCTTTCTGCTTTCTTCTGAGGACCCTTGGGAAGGCAGATCATAGTTCCTTCTGTAGCCATGGCTAGGCCACCTGAAGTACTGTGGTGTTTCCAAAGTTGGGCTGTAGTCAGGGAAGGTGGGACATTTGTGGCTGGCTTCTCTGTTCAGAGAAGCGTCCTCAGCATCGTCCACATTATTGCTGAACTCTGGTGGAGGGGGGATAATTTCATAATCCATTATTTCCCCGTTCTTCTCTTCCTTGTTGGATGCTAGACCACAGGGCAGCGGGGCACTGCTGTTCGGCAGGTCTGGATGTTTCGGCTGGCTTGACTCCAGGAGGCCTTGCACTAAGTTGGAGGTGGCTGCCCTTCGGTGCCTCAGGAAGCTCTCAGGATCCTCCTTGCTTGGCTTCTGTGCCGTCCAGCTTTGCTCAGAAGAGCTGGAGAAGGATGGTGGTTTGCTCTGCCTCTGCCCAGATCCTGCCAAGCCCGTGGCACTGCCAGCAACAGTGGAGCTTGTCTTGGACAACCCATCTCCTGTTTGGCCAAGGACAGCTGTCCGGGGGGACCGGGGTACCACTGTAAAGGAATAAGGCTTGGACTCATCACGGTAAAAGCTGGTGGAGGCCATTTCCAACACAGCGCTATTGGGTTTCTGAGGTACCTTAACCTGTGGCTTCTCACCCATGTTGCTGCCTTGCCGGGAGGGAGTGTGCCGACCTCTCTGTGCTCGCTGCTTCGCAGCCAGGAGCAGAGCCATGGGGGAGCCCTTCTCCACCTTCTCACCCGTGACAGGGTGGATCAGTACATCATCTTGGCCCACTCTCAAGGAGCCCAGTGGCTCTGAGGGTACAGGTGTGCTCTCAGCAGGGTGCAGACCCACACCTTTTCCATCACTGTTTTCGTCCGAGCTTGCAGCACCCAGCTGGTCCGTCAAGTCGGCCCTGGCCCGGTGGGTTTTGTACTGGAATAGGGACACATCAGACTGTGGTGCTGAGCTTTGCATGGGTGAGAGCATCTCTGGAGAGGAGGGCAAAGGGGAAGCCAAGACTGGGAGCTCATCCTTTGGTTTCTGAGGTTGGTTTGAGGTGTTCAGGCTGCTACTGGGGGACATGGGCTTGGGGACAGGGTTTACATACTCCAAAGCATCACTAGCTGAGGGGGCAGCAGGCACCTGGTGATCCTCCTGCACCTTCTCATCCTCCACTGCTGCAGCCAGGGGTTGGACCTGACCCGGAACAGGTTTTGGCAGCAGGGAACCACCAGGTTCATCATGGCCTGTACCTGAACATATGGAGCCACTGCAGTTCTCCAGACTCTGCTTCTGGCTGCCAAGTCCCAAGGAAGGTTTTCCTTCTTTCTTCAGGGACAGCATGGCCTCCAGCTCATTCCTGATTTTCATAACGCTGTTGAGTTGCAAGTTGGTGGGTTTGTTCTCTGGAGCTGGAAGAACTGCATTGGAGGAGCTCTCTTTAGCAGAGGCCGTGCTGATACAGATCTCTCTTTTCTCACTTTCCCCTCCCTTAGGTAACCATGAGTCCTTCCCAACAGGTTTAGTGAGCTTGGATCTATCAGAGCTGATCCTGTCACTGCCAGCACAATCAGTAACACTGTTCACGGGCTGGGGAATTACTGGTCTATCCACCTGCTGCTCCTCCCGCTTGGAAGAGGACAGGAGGGCCACAAGTTCGTGTTTCAGCCTGTTCAGGTTGCTGGCCTCTTTCCAGTCCTCATCCAAGGAGGGATAATCTGGAGGGGGAAGGTCCAGATCATTTGCAGTAAGAATTTCAGACTTTGGAGATGAGTCATTCTCACCCTTTTTTGGCTGAGGAACCTTCTCTGAGTTGGAGTCTGGTGGCAGGGGCTGGCGATCAGCAGAATTAGTCCCTCTGCCAGGTGCTAACCCTGGCCTTGGGCTTGGAGGCTGGGTGACCGGCACAGCCGGCTTCGCAATGGGCTTCCTCAACACAGCACTCTTCTGCTCAGCGTCTCCAGTTGCATGCACCTTGGCTGCAGGTCGGATGGTGAAGCACGGTGGGAGTGGTGGCCGGGTGCGAGGCTGCTTAGGGAAGGGCTCCTCCTTCGCCAGGGCATCCGGCTCCTGCACTGGGATGGAGGAAGACCTGGCTGGGGCTGGAGGAGGTACTTTGAATGACCGGGGGAAGGTCAGGTGCGGCTCAGGGCAGGGCTTGGGCTGCAGGCTTTCCTGGCCAGGGACTGCTGGCACCCCGGTCTCAGTGGGACGCACTGGCCCCTCCGCATCCGCCTGCCTTGTGTTGAGCACGGTCTCTGATTTCCATTTGGAGATGCTTGCAGAGAAGGGGGCCGCTGGTGGTGCTGGGGGTATGAAGTCTGGAGGGGCCGGTGTCCCAGGGGAGGATGAGGCAGATGCTGGTGGCAGCGGGGGTGCCATGGCGGGCGGCGGGGGCACCACTATCTTGGGTGGTGTTGGTGTCACAGGTGCCATTGGGGGTGGCGGTGGTGGTGATGCAGGTGCCGGCGGCGGTGGTTGGGCCACCGATGGCGGCGGTGGGATGTCTTCGTCCAGGTACTCCCCCTCCGATGCCTGTGGGCGCAGGTCTCCGACAGAGCTGTACAGCCGGTAGTTCCCATTCATCTGGGAGCTGGAGCCTGCAAGAAAGTGAGAGCACAGCAGCTGTAACACCTTCTCCATCTGCCCCGCGAAGGCTAGAAACACCCCCAACACATTACCTCCCAGGAACATCAGATTATTTAATGCAGCTAAGTAAGCTTTGGATAGCTGCTGAAACAGCCACTGCGCTTCACCTTTAGAAAGGAGCATTTTCAATGACTTGAAAAATCATCATCAGAAATGAAGACTTATAAAAAGAAGCTTGACTTTAGCATTGAAATCTTAGGATCAGGCTACCTGCTCTAGAGTTTGGTACAAGCACACTTGCTTTGAAGAAAATCCCGAGGCCGAGGGCTTGGTATTGCTAATGCTTAGCGCCTCCATGGGCTTAGCAGGGAAGATCTCTTACCCAGAGCTCCTTTTTCTTCAAAGTCTTCAGGCACAGACGGCGTTGGCACAGCCACCCCATGGGACTCCTGGGCATTCTGCAAGAGTCGAGGAGACCGAGTTGTTAGTTTTACGTCCAAGGTATTAAAGAAGAGCCGACAAGGAGGCCCTGGGCTGTGGAGCAGGTCATTCATGCAGCCAGGAGCCTGATGGGATCTAGTGCTGTTTCCTAGATATTGAGGTCCCTGCATCACCATGGTAGCAGCTGTTGACTGTTTAAGGGGACAGGTGAAGTGATGAAGGCTGCATGAGCCATGGGGACAGACCCTCCCTGTGACACTCGGACCAGGCAGCACGCAGCTACTTCACTGCCACGCTCAGGGCTCCAGAGCCCAGGATCAGCAGCATTTGCCCAGCAAGCTTAACAGCTCCCACTGGCTTTGTGGGTGTTGTTCTCCAGCAAACGTTGGCTGCTGCTGGCTCCAAGTCGCATACACAATGCACAGCCACTAAAGTCCCAGAAGGACTTCCAGCTTTTGGGAAAACTCTGGCACCAGCACATCTGAGCAGCCCGGGGAAAGCTGCCACTTGCATGGTTTGCATTTCACTCTTGGTAGGTCCCTTAGTGTTCCTGCGGCAAATTCAACACTGCGTTTAGCTGGAGCAGGACTGTGCAGTTTAGCAACCTACACACTCGCGAGGGTGCTTACAGCCAGGGCAGTTTGGATAATTATAGCCACTGACAGCAACATATTGGTGGCACGTTGACTCACCTGGACCGCTGACCAGGACTCCTGCTTCTCACACCTGTCCAGAGCCTCTCCTCCCTCCTCCAGTGACTCACAGCTAGGGCTGCTCTCCAGAGGGAGCGTGGGTTGCTTACGGATTACTAACGCACCCATGCTCAGGACATTCCCATTTCCTGGGCTGGCCCAGGACCAGCACACACCTAGATGCAAACTGATGTTGCGTCAGGCCACCCGCACGGGAGTGACCGAAGTGACGGACAAGACCTTCGCACACCCGCGTCAGGCAGAGCGACAGCCAGGAAGGAGCACGTCGCGGGCAGAGGGAGTTTCGGACACCGTAGGCAGAGGCCCGGGACATACCACCGCGTCCCAGGACCCACCCCAGAGGCTGGCTGCTGTGCTGCGGCTCACCCCAGGCAGCCGTTTGCAGTAGCTGTTAATAGCCCCTTGCGCAAAGGAAACGTTATCCTGAGATCAGCCTGTGCCGCTTCGGTGGCGCGGCTGCTCTGCACACAACAGCTTAGACAATGATTGAACCGGTGCCCTTTGCCTTTCACTGGCATTATCACTATTCTTACAAGAGACTGCTACAGGATTCCAAAGTTTCCTTGATCAAAGGTTAAGCTCAGCTTATGCTGATGGCCTCCTCCCAGGCTCAGGCATGGTGTTAACATTATGCACCCCCGGGTGCAGGCTCAGGCACATGAGAGCTGCCGGGGCAGTGCTGACTCCAGCCGCAGCAGCCCGAGCTCTTTCACAAAACCCTGGGATCCCCCTTCTTCCTCCACCTTTTGGAGGAGTAATAAGCAAATATGTACTTTTTCCTTGCCAAGTCTAGCGTGCTGCAGATGACCATAAATCCACATAACCACAAGAATGAACCAGTTATGGGTCAGCCAGGAGGGAGCGCTTCCCAGCCACAGCCCATCAGACAGCTCCAGCCAAGGCCTGCCAAGATGTCAGTATTGATCTCTGCTGGCAAAACATTGGGCTTGGTGAGTCTGTCTTCAAACAAGCTCTCTTTACTGCTCCCAAAGACACTACAAAGGAAGGATCCTTAACATCAGCTGAAAGCCAGAAGGGAGACAACAGGTAACCAAGAAGCACGTCAAGATTTGAGGATGGCATTGGCCACTGCAGAGAAAAAACAAATACCACAAAGAAAAAGCTCCAGCAGCTCCCATTTGTGACAGAAATTCACCCCTTCCAGCATGCTCCAGAGCACACTGGGGGGAACAAAGACATCCGAGCACCCATTTGACCTGGATTACAAGCAACGTATGTATGGCACGTTTAGGATGGAGGTAGAAGGAATATGGAAAACATTTACACAAAACTGGAGGAAATGAGTCCATGCTTCAAACAATTAGTAATTTCGGACACGTCATGTCAATGGGTCTCAAAAACTGGGCAAGCCTGTTTCACACCAGAAGTTTCTGCTGCACTGGCTGGTGCTCAGCACCTCTCTTGAAAAATAGCCACCCATGCTCATGCCATAAGCTAGCTTCTAAAAATGAAAGCATCCCCCGTAAGCTGCCAATCTCAGAGATGACTGCAAAGATCGCTCGCGGGTGGCGCGCAGGAACCAGCATTTCCAGTTCGGGGCACCCCCATCGGATCTTCGTGCGTGCCGAGGATCCCGTTCAGGGCGAGCTTTCACTGCAGCAACCAGGCATCCCTTTTCAGCGCTGAATGGCATCAGGCATCGCCTGTTCCCCCAAGCAAACAATGACCGGCCTTGCCTGATTTGCTGTCCCCAGCCCAGTGGGCTCCGGGGAAGGAGCCGGCCGGGAAGGCGGCCAGCAGGGCCGAGGGCACGCGCAGAGACAGGGCGCGCATCCTGGCCTCCTGCGGTCCTGGCTCATGCCTGCGCAGGTGGTCCTTTCCCAACCACCACCACCCTCCTGGCAGGAGCCCACGGGGAAGGAAGGAGTTAAATGAGGCAGGAGGTGCAGGACAGCCCAGTGCAAGCACGCATGTAGCAGAAGCATCTGTGCCAAGTCAAATCACAGTTTAACCTCGTCAAAAATAACGCAAGCATCCAACACAGCCTGGCCCTGTGAGGGCAAGAGCTTCAACTGGCTAAGGTTGTAGGTGCAAGAAGTTTTCTTGTTTTGTTTCAGAGGAGCAAAGGGCAAGGGGAGAGTGAGGAAAGCAAGCCCCAGGGACAGCTGAAGGCAGCAAGAAGGCACCACCACTGAGGTGACAGCTCTTATCTATTCCAGGACCATTCGTGCTACTTATTTCTGTACCACACACTTCCACTAGTAAAACATTTAGAAGCTCTAAATAGTAGTAAAAGCCCAGTTGCACTCTAAACATGGTGACATTGCTGCAGTTGCTCCTCTTTGAGGCCACACTGAAGTCCCCGCTAGGGAAGAGGAGTCTCTTGGCCCCAGCCCTGCAGAGGTTACTCCATCCTCCTTGGAGCCCCAGCACAATTGCGTTCACCTGCCGTGATCTTTGGGAAGGCGTCACAGAGGACATGACCCCCCAGTACAACCTATGCAACCGTAACTCCTTAATTACCTTCTCAAATACCTGGGTAACCCCCCAATTGCCCTCCAAGTGACACACCTGTGCAAGCCCATTAGCTCCTAATTACACCCGCTGCAAGCTGGCCAGCCCACTCCTGCCACAGCCCACAGCAGCTGTGCTGCACCTCTGGAGGATGAGGAGGTGCAAGCAGAGGAAGAAGGCATCCCTTGCACCTGAGGGTTCATTGCCAAGAGCACAGCCCTTCGAAGATGGTCAAACACCCTTAACCACCTGCGCCTTTCACTTTAGATTCAGCCGTTGCTGTCTCCAAGGTATCCCTGAGCTATTCCCTGTATTCTTCGGGCAAGGCCTTTGGAAAGGCACGGAGGGAGACTTCCTTAGCACGCGTAGCTAGCTTTGGTTCTCCTCTGCAATGAGCACACATGGTTTTGGGGGCAGAGGAGGTATCTCTGGATAGGTTAAGCCACCGCTGGGCCCCCGCTTTGCAGCCCCAGCCCTCGGCTGCTCCACACAGAGCGGCTGCTCACGCACGGGGATTAGGCAAGAGGACAGCCACGTACGGTCTCATGAGGGAACGTCCTGATAACACAAACATGCCAGAAACACCAGCATCTGCTCTGAGGCACCGAGACACCCGAAACAGAAAGCCGCGCTCTGCATTGCGGCTCACTGGCGGCCGCACTCAGCCCGCGGTGCGCTCCCCTGCTTTGAGGTTAACCAGCAGCGACAGAGCCGAGCCCAGGCACGACTTCGATCATGGCACACTGAGCAAGCAAAACACCCAGGTGTGCAGCTTTGGCATTAACCCCACCCCAGACAGACATGCTGATCTTTCCTCCCTTTCTTGGGAGGGTGACAGCGAAAGGAGCAGTGCCAATGTCTCAGCATAACCAAACTCTACAGAAGGCAAAGCAACGCAACCCTGCCTGCCCCCAGTTTGTGTATTTGCTGAGCTAGTGATACTTGACATTCACATCTAGCGTTTGCTATGGGAGGGAAGAGATGCCATCGGAGGGTATTTTGACCATTGGAAAAGATTTGCTATAAGTTTACTAATGGAGAGTTTGTACTTTCATGGTCATAAAGTGATAAGCGCAGCTGTGTCGGGCCGGCACCATCCATCAGCCCCTCTACGGACCCCTGCTGCATCGCCTCCTCGGTCCTACGCCACGAGCAGGACGGTTGCACTATCACTCTCTGCAGCAACACACATGATCCAGAGAGATACTGCCAGGAGCGGCTATACAAAATGCTGTGCCAGGCAGATCTGCCGTATATACTCAGCATTTTCTCTTAATTTGAAAATGCCTGGCTGATAAAGCTCACATCTCTTGCCCAAACATCTTGCCTATGTCCCTCATGAACCAGGAGCTCAGATCACCTTCTAATCCCTTGTATCCACCATCATTAGAGTGGTTTTGCCTTCCATTTTACTCTCTCGCCTGGGGTAGAGGGCGGGGGAAGCAGCCAGCCCAGCTGGTTCTGGGCACCTCTGCAACATGCTGCCCAAACCAGTCTCAGCACCCCGCTGCTGGCGGCGCGCAGTACTCACGAGGGGCAGGAACGTCAGCAGCGGTCGCACTCTCGGACGAGGCTTAAGCGTCGCCGTTCCAGAATCGGTCATTGTACCAAAGCGGTTATCGCCATAATACACTTCAATCACGTCACCTGCAAGGAAGAGGAGACTGTTAGCAGTAGCATTACTTTGTAGACAACAGGGGGAAAAAAAACAGTCAGACACCACCCAATTTAATAAATCGCTGCAAAGTCTTTGCACTATCAACTCCCAGGAGCGGGCAAGAAACCCCACGGCCTGCAGAGCAGCTGGGCCTTCCGGAAGTGAGCTGAAGAGACCCCAGCGCTTGGGGCCCCGCTCGACAGGCAGCTGGCAGCCCAAGTGCTTGTTGCAAGGAATAATGACCCGCAACAGAAAACAAGATACTGGAGTCTAAAGAGCACAGAGCAGATGTCAAGTCCATCTGAAAGGGTGATTTCCTATAGTAACCGACTACTGAGATTTCACCTTAGGAGGGTCAGGAGTGACAGTACTTGCTTTCAACTCGTTCCCTCCTCGCCCCCATCCGGGCCGGGTTCAGGGAAGGAAAACGCTTTAGGTGCGGCTGGGAGAAGCCAGCCCAGCTCTTTACGACGCCGCGGCCGACTCCGCCAGCCCCCAGGAAAGGGGAAGGCTGGACTCGGGGCGCGTGCGCGGCCGCAGCAGAACCCAACACGGCTTGTAAGCATGGGCAGGATTTTATCCCAGGCGATTAGTCAGCAAGCAGGGAGGGAAAGGCACAGGGAAACGGCTAACGAACAACCGTAACTCCTTAATTACCTTCTCAAATACCTGGGTAACCCCCCAATTGCCCTCCAAGTGACACACCTGTGCAAGCCCATTAGCTCCTAATTACACCCGCTGCAAGCTGGCCAGCCCACTCCTGCCACAGCCCACAGCAGCTGTGCTGCACCTCTGGAGGATGAGGAGGTGCAAGCAGAGGAAGAAGGCATCCCTTGCACCTGAGGGTTCATTGCCAAGAGCACAGCCCTTCGAAGATGGTCAAACACCCTTAACCACCTGCGCCTTTCACTTTAGATTCAGCCGTTGCTGTCTCCAAGGTATCCCTGAGCTATTCCCTGTATTCTTCGGGCAAGGCCTTTGGAAAGGCACGGAGGGAGACTTCCTTAGCACGCGTAGCTAGCTTTGGTTCTCCTCTGCAATGAGCACACATGGTTTTGGGGGCAGAGGAGGTATCTCTGGATAGGTTAAGCCACCGCTGGGCCCCCGCTTTGCAGCCCCAGCCCTCGGCTGCTCCGCACAGAGCAGCTGCTCACGCACGGGGATTAGGCAAGAGGACAGCCACGTACGGTCTCATGAGGGAACGTCCTGATAACACAAACATGCCAGAAACACCAGCATCTGCTCTGAGGCACCGAGACACCCGAAACAGAAAGCCGCGCTCTGCATTGCGGCTCACTGGCGGCCGCACTCAGCCCGCGGTGCGCTCCCCTGCTTTGAGGTTAACCAGCAGCGACAGAGCCGAGCCCAGGCACGACTTCGATCATGGCACACTGAGCAAGCAAAACACCCAGGTGTGCAGCTTTGGCATTAACCCCACCCCAGACAGACATGCTGATCTTTCCTCCCTTTCTTGGGAGGGTGACAGCGAAAGGAGCAGTGCCAATGTCTCAGCATAACCAAACTCTACAGAAGGCAAAGCAACGCAACCCTGCCTGCCCCCAGTTTGTGTATTTGCTGAGCTAATGATACTTGACATTCACATCTAGCGTTTGCTATGGGAGGGAAGAGATGCCATCGGAGGGTATTTTGACCATTGGAAAAGATTTGCTATAAGTTTACTAATGGAGAGTTTGTACTTTCATGGTCATAAAGTGATAAGCGCAGCTGTGTCGGGCCGGCACCATCCATCAGCCCCTCTACGGACCCCTGCTGCATCGCCTCCTCGGTCCTACGCCACGAGCAGGACGGTTGCACTATCACTCTCTGCAGCAACACACATGATCCAGAGAGATACTGCCAGGAGCGGCTATACAAAATGCTGTGCCAGGCAGATCTGCCGTATATACTCAGCATTTTCTCTTAATTTGAAAATGCCTGGCTGATAAAGCTCACATCTCTTGCCCAAACATCTTGCCTATGTCCCTCATGAACCAGGAGCTCAGATCACCTTCTAATCCCTTGTATCCACCATCATTAGAGTGGTTTTGCCTTCCATTTTACTCTCTCGCCTGGGGTAGAGGGCGGGGGAAGCAGCCAGCCCAGCTGGTTCTGGGCACCTCTGCAACATGCTGCCCAAACCAGTCTCAGCACCCCGCTGCTGGCGGCGCGCAGTACTCACGAGGGGCAGGAACGTCAGCAGCGGTCGCACTCTCGGACGAGGCTTAAGCGTCGCCGTTCCAGAATCGGTCATTGTACCAAAGCGGTTATCGCCATAATACACTTCAATCACGTCACCTGCAAGGAAGAGGAGACTGTTAGCAGTAGCATTACTTTGTAGACAACAGGGGGAAAAAAAACAGTCAGACACCACCCAATTTAATAAATCGCTGCAAAGTCTTTGCACTATCAACTCCCAGGAGCGGGCAAGAAACCCCACGGCCTGCAGAGCAGCTGGGCCTTCCGGAAGTGAGCTGAAGAGACCCCAGCGCTTGGGGCCCCGCTCGACAGGCAGCTGGCAGCCCAAGTGCTTGTTGCAAGGAATAATGACCCGCAACAGAAAACAAGATACTGGAGTCTAAAGAGCACAGAGCAGATGTCAAGTCCATCTGAAAGGGTGATTTCCTATAGTAACCGACTACTGAGATTTCACCTTAGGAGGGTCAGGAGTGACAGTACTTGCTTTCAACTCGTTCCCTCCTCGCCCCCATCCGGGCCGGGTTCAGGGAAGGAAAACGCTTTAGGTGCGGCTGGGAGAAGCCAGCCCAGCTCTTTACGACGCCGCGGCCGACTCCGCCAGCCCCCAGGAAAGGGGAAGGCTGGACTCGGGGCGCGTGCGCGGCCGCAGCAGAACCCAACACGGCTTGTAAGCATGGGCAGGATTTTATCCCAGGCGATTAGTCAGCAAGCAGGGAGGGAAAGGCACAGGGAAACGGCTAACCAAAGCGCCACAG